CTCCATTCCCCTTACCCAAACTCTCGAACAACCGCGCGTTTACTACACTCTCTCCTCCTCCTACTACCCTACCCCCCCTCCCCGTGGCCCGTCCCTTTCCTTTCGCGTCCCCCCCTCCCCCCCCCCCCCCCCCCCCCCGTCCGCCGCGCTCCCCCTCTTTCTTTCTTCCCCCCCCCCCCTGCCCCCGTGTTTCCCTCTTTCTCTTGATGGAAGCGGCCCCCCTCCTCCCTCCCCGCTCTCTACTCTTCGAGTCCCACATGGTCATCCCCCCCCCCCTCCTCCACCGCATGTTTCTTCCCCCTCCTGGTCCCCGGCCAAAAAAGACCCCCCCCCCTTTTTTTTTTTCCCCCCCCCCCCTTTTCCACCCCCCCCCCCCCCCCCCCGGGGCCAAGCCAGGATTCAGGACTGTGGTACACATTTCTTGATCCCTGGGAGACAATTGGTAATAAATTGACACATAAGAAATGCACCTCTAACCAATTACTAATGCACGACTCCCAAGATGAGTGTCTCCAGGCAGGTTTCTCTAGGAGCGGGAAGGTGGAGCATGCTCAGTAGAAACGTCTATCTTTTCCCTACACACCCCACACCGGAAGGTAGTGAAAGGGCTAGGTAGGGAGCAGCCTCTTAATGGAAGAATGGGAGATGAGGAGGGGGAGGAAACTCCAGCTCATTTCTCTGACCTGGCAACATTCCCACTCATGACTCAGCACAGCCCACTCAGAACATTACAATTAGGCAGCCACATTCCCTGCATGACCTACATGACCAGAAGGGGGCGGCAGAGAGCAGGTAGTTTGAACTCTCGCTGGTCCCCCTGAGGAGACAGGCTTTGGTATGAGTCAAACAAGGGAATCATTTCCTGTCCATTAATCAAAGCTCAGACTCTTTTCTTCTCTGACTCTTTGCGGGGAGGAGGAGAGTGTGGAGAGAGCAGTTCCCTCTCAGGTGCGGGAGGGGCTTGCTGGTGGCCACCTGTATCTACTAGAAAATCTGACAGATGTGGCTTGTATTATATTTCAATCGAAAGTGCTGTCCTAAAGGGTCTGGAATGAGGGCCACCTTCGCTGGGGTCAGAGAGACATTACAGGTGTGGTGGGACAATCCAGGTTCGGAATACCTGGAGCCCACATTAAACACCTCTGCACGCCAGCAGAGGTCAGATGGGCACCCTCAAGTTCTGAGCTCTTATTTCATCTTCACAACGCTCACTATGGGATGATGTCATCAGGTGATATTTGCCAAAGGCCTCATTGCAGGTTAGGCTGGGCCCAGGCCAGAGCCCGGTGCGCAGTGAAGAAAGCCAGGAAGAGCAAAATGGGACCCTCAAACCACTAGGGAAGAGCTGAATTCTAGTCCTCATTCTACCACTAACCCTGCATCTAACTGTGGGCAAGTGGCTCCGCACACTGGGCCTCAGCGTCCCCATCTGTAAAATGAGGGCCTTGACTTCAAGGATTGTGTGGGTTCCTTGAGCTTTAGCATTCTTTGGCTAATACCCAGACAATTCCTGGAGAGACGCTAGGACCTTGCTAAGCCAAGTGGTTAGGCAGGAAAGGGCACTTTGCCCCGTATAGAGATTTCCACTCACTCCTTTGGATTTATATTTTAAAAAAAGAGACATTGTAACAGAAGTCATGGAAAAAATGGAACTTGAAAAAAAATGTGGGGGATTCTCTGGATATAGGGGAAAGTGGAGTAGACGCTTAGAACTGGCTTCCTTGTTTATTTACTTATTTATTTTCGCAAGTATCGAATTAATCGTTGTCTTGGAAAACATATACAGCTGGCAATTTAAGGCTGATCTCTGGGGATTTGCAACTTTTGGACCAACTGTAGTAAAACTGCGAAACAAAAACTCAAACAAAACCCCTTCTAATTGCCTCCTTGTCTCTTACCACAGCCATTCCTTTTCCTGGTTGGTTCCTCCTTGGTGCCTGGACCCTTTATGGTGTTCTTCCAGCTTCTGGATGCAGTGGGCCTGGCGTATGGTGATCCTTCTTTAAAGTTTTATTTTTCACACATTGAATAACTCAAAGTTTCAAAGGCATTGCTCAGGTACAAAGTAAAATCTTTAGACAAGAATCACCTTTTCTTCTCCATAGCTCCTCCCTCCCCTATTAAAGGGACCAGGGCTTCTGTTGGGATTCTTGCTCCCATGCCCTTCGCTGTAACCCTCACGGTGACCTCTGGCTTCTGGGATCAGCCCCTTCTCCCCCTACAGCTGCAAGCCCACCTGCCGGCTCAAATCCAGCCAAGCCCTGGGACTAACATCAGCTGCTCTGACTTAAAACTCAAACCTTAGGGCAGTGGTTCTCAACCTTGGCTGCACATTAGAATCACCTGGGAACCTTTTTAAAATCCTGATTTCCGGCCTCCT